TACCGACCGAGTAATCTACATTACCGACAGAGCAATCTGCATTACCGACAGATCAATCTGCATTACCGACCGAGTAATCTGCATTACCGACAGAGTAATCTGCATTATCGACCGAGCACTCTACATTACGGACGGAGTAATTTGCATTATCGACCGATCACTCTACATTACCGACAGAGCAATCTGCATTACCGACCAAGCACTCTATATTACCGACAAAGTAGTCTGCATTATCGACCGTGCGCTCTACATTTCCAGCAGAGCTAGCTGCGTTATCGACTGAGTAGCTTTTATATTCCCGTGAGTTTTTCTTTATCCGTTGCTCTCCAATCCATTAAGCAATAAATTATTTTTCTTTGAAAATTGATGTTTACTATCTATCAAAGTCACGCGGTGTACAAATCAGTTTTAGTAGCTATGAAAAAATTCATTTTCTTTAAACTTACAGCTTTAAAAATACATTTCAATTGTAATTGTTGCTGAATTCGAAGTCAAAAGTTATCCGCAGAGGTGGTTCCGAGACTGTTTCGAGAAGTAAGAGGAAGGCAACGAAAGCTTCGCGGAATTCCCCGATTCTCGTTGGACTTTGGCAATTTACACGAAACCACCGTACTCTCCCTCTCTCTGTTCGTTAAGGATTAACGTTGATCTCGGCTGAGCCAGTCTCTGTACACATTGTTAATTCCGAGATTGTATAAGCCATCTACCATCGCCGACGAGTCGCCGCTCCGTTCCTACGTGGATCTTAAATTTAATTAACGAAAGTTACCTCAAACTCCGCCAACTTTCGATTCGCTGAGACACTTTTCTTAAATTTTCCCTTAATCGCCTTTTTTTTACCTTTGAAAAGGAAACTTTGGTGCCCCGAGATAATGAAAACGCAGGCGTCTCACACTATCGAAATTTAGTTTAATCGAATGGCGTCTTTTTGGTTTGAAAATACACAAATATTGGATAAAGATTGAGGTTAACGAGCTAGGTTTAGTCTCGTTAGTTCATTCCAGCGTACACGAGCACTCTGCATTACCGACAGAGCAATCTACATTACCGACCGAGTACTCTGCATTACCGGCAGAGCAATCTACATTACCGACAGAGCAATCTACATTACCGACCGAGTACTTTGCATTACCGACAGAGCAATCTACATTACCGACCGAGTACTCTGCATTACCGACAGAGCAATCTGCATTACCGACCGAGCAATCTGCATTACCGACTGAGTACTCTACATTACCGACAGAGCAATCTACATTACCGGCCGAGTACTCTACATTACCGACAGAGCAATCTGCATTACCGACCGAGCAATCTACATTACCGACAGAGCAATCTGCATTACCGACAGAGCAATCTGCATTACCGACTGAGTACTCTACATTACCGACAGAGCAATCTACATTACCGGCCGAGTACTCTGCATTACCGACAGAGCAATCTGCATTACCGACTGAGTACTCTACATTACCGACAGAGCAATCTACATTACCGGCCGAGTACTCTGCATTACCGACAGAGCAATCTACATTACCGACAGAGCAATTTTCATTACCGACAGAGCAATCTACATTACCGACAGAGCAATCTGCATTACCGACCGAGTACTCTACATTACCGACAGAGCAATCTGCATTACCGACCGAGTACTCTACATTACCGACAGAGCAATCTACATTACCGACAGAGCAATCTGCATTGCCGGCCGAGTAATCTACATTACCGACAGAGCAATCTGCATTGCCGACCGATCACTCTACATTACCGACAGAGTAATCTGCATTATCGGCCGAGTATTCTACATTATCGACAGTGTAATCTGCAAATACTCCGGTTCATTTTGGCACAATTCCGAAGCAATACCTGCACGATACTTTAATTGGAAGTACCTTTTTCGTCTCTCACCTGCAATGATTTAAACACCACTTTCATTATAAATCCTGCGATAAAATTGTTTAGACTTACGCGTTCCTCGATCTTCGTCTGATTTTCGGTGTTCTCCCGCAAGTGAAACCCGAGAGGAGCTTTCCTTCGATCCATATCGACGCAACTTTCAATTAGGATACTGGTTAATTAGAGCGGGCTCCTGGAGCCTTTTACAAGCGGCAACGGTGCGTGAATATCGCCGCGATTGTCGAAGCGCAGTTCCTGGGGAAAACAGTCTCGTGACGCTCTGTTGACAACGCTGGGAACAAATGAAAACAACGAAAAAAGTTAAACAAAGGAATGACAAAAGTAACAATTGGCGTGAGAGAAGGTACCCCTCGCTGCGCGTCGGACGGTTTCGTAGTGTTAGTCCCGAGCAAGTTGGTGCAATCGGAATGGAACTGAAAATAAACAAAGACAAATACGTCGCGATATATTCCCGTGACAAATTTTATTGGAAAATATAGAGGAAATATTTATGCAACTTTTAGAATTGTTAGAGTTTAATTTAAAAAATTTCTTCCATATATATAGAGCATACAAATATTAGGTGTAGAAATGAATCCTTTAAAGTTATTTAAAGTCTTTACTTGAATTCGCCTCGAATCTCCGATCACATTCGTGGAAAAGCTCTCAAATAAGAGGAAAATATCGGGAACACTGAAGCGTTTGATAATGATTTCCTTTCGTGCGGACCGCGCGTTAGGAACGGACTATCCGGTGAACTCTGATTACTCGCATTTGGATCACGTTCCTCGAACGGGGGACGAGGTATACGATAATGGGATCGTCGAAATTTCATTCGCCTAATTCTCACCAGGACCAGGGGCTCGAACGGAAGAATATTACAATAATTATAACACGGTGCTCGAGCATTTTATTCGAGTCGTTTCGATCACTTAGGTTCACGGTCCTCGGGACTGTTAGACAATTCGTTAGGTCCTTCTTTGTTAATACAAAATAGGAAAACTAGGATTAATTTTTCGATGATTGGAAAGTTTGTTTGGTGAGTCTAGATGCGTTTCCATTGCTGCGTCTGTCCATTGCTCGTTGTTTCGACTTGCGTTGGTATTTGTACTCGCAACTAAATAAGTAGAAATATCGAGTAATGGTCAGACACGTTGGGCACTTCCATAAACGGAGCTTCGTATGAAAAAAATTTATTCCACATTTTTTGTTCACTTTTACAAAACAAGTCGTACCACGCATTTTAAGATACCTGTATACTTCACAAATCAGTGACGAACCACTTCGAGCAAGAACCATCGATCAGACCAGTGACTCTTAACCGCAATTAAGTCTTTAAATTGTTACTTCTTATACTTATCAACAGTTTATATACATTACAACTACCAGAAAAATTGCACTGGTATCCTTTACCACACGAAAACCGTTCAATATATTATAACGATGCATAGACTAAAGCAAGTACATCCTGTACCGAAGCGTTAAGAATCTCCCCTCGAATCTTTTCGCGTGCTCCGTCTTGAAAAGGTTAAGGACCACTGAATTAGACAATTATCGTTGGGAAAAAAAAGCTGAAACGATGGAAGCAACAAGTGCTCGGAACAGGGTCGATCCTTTAATTATCCTCGTTGAACGAGAGTGTGAAAAAAGTGCATGATTCGTTTCCTAAGATTATTCATTCGCATTGTTACGAACGATATCCAATTTCCAGTGGCTCGGCTTACGAGGGCCAATGGCAGAACGGGAAACGACACGGCCTGGGCATGGAGACCCGTGGCCGCTGGATTTATCGCGGCGAATGGACTCAGGGATTCAAGGGTCGATACGGTGTCCGACAATCGACCACGTCCACGGCGAGGTACGAGGGCACGTGGGCGAGCGGTCTTCAGGATGGCTACGGCTCGGAGACCTACGCTGACAGTGGTGAGTCTTTTATCTTATTACGCTAGGAACCTATGCGCTGCGAGATCGTAAACTGTTTTTAACTCTAGCAAGTCAAAGGTAGATGATAATTCGTTTTGTGGGGGGCGGGGGGGGGGGGGGCAAATCTGAGAAAGATCGAACATTGCTTACGAAACTCTGTCCTATATCTATGACAAAACTATGATCAAATGGTTGTCTACTCGAATACTGAACCAACGCAAATAATTGGACGAGACGTTCCGGACCTAAACTTCCGACGCAGCGTTCCCCGTCTGGCTCGATACGGACACAATCCCCTGGAAAGGAAACCAAGGACAACGCAATAAAACGGAAAAACTACGTATACCGCTAGACGGGGGACGGGGAACAAAGCTGTCAAGAGCAGATCAAAGGATACGCCGCGCGCCGTATCCTGAACGTCGATGCAAATCGCTGAAATCTGTGTCAACTCCACCTGACAGGACACGTGTTCCCGACGCTTTTGCTCGAGTTTCATCTTCTCAATTAATCGGCTCGATCTGTCGATGCCTCGACAACCTTTAACCCGTCCCGCAACGGGACGCGGTTTTCAGATATTTCTTTTTTTTCTGCGTTTAATTTGTAGTTATTAATAAGCGTTTTAATGACCTGTCCGCGACGCAGTCCCCTTTTTCACGCGAATTTGGGACCGCTGCCAATTTGGCGACGGATCCAACGCGACTATCGTCTTTCCCGACGCTCTGTTTCGTTGGATTGATAATTAATAACCGTGATGATCGACTACGAGTCGAGGATACTTGTTAATTCACCTTTTTCATTCGATTTCTAGAGTTCGGTGTGTTTCAAACTTCTTTTTGAAGAGGATACACTACGAAAATTTTTTATTTACGTTTTTATTTACATTCAATAATATCACATGTGCTCCGATACTACGCGATATCACGTGTCGAAACACTCGTCGGTGATTTTAATTTATGCGCCTCTTTTTTCACAATGAAATGAGATTTTTATTTTGTCGTGTGGGTATAGTTAATAATATTGTTTGAAAGAAGGTATATTTTTTTAGCTCTGGAATGGGAATATATACATATTATTTTTTCAAATTTCGAAGGTCGACGTTACGTTATTTATTTTCGTCGACGTTCCATTTTTCATTTGTGGACTGCGCATAAATTGTAAAGAGATCGTGTGTGGAGCGATGTTGGATACCCTTTTTTATTTTTATTGCATAGAAAGATTCTAAAGGGGACCCGTAACGTAGCCGTAACGTTGAGAGGAATTTAGAATGTCATTTTTTCGAATGTAAAAAGAAAATACTTTCGTCCAAATATTATTTTATCTTTCTCGACATAGTAGGACGAACTGAACAAACGAACAGTACTATAATGAAAACGGTTAATTGGAACGGACGAAGGAAATAAACTTTAATTATTTAGTACGCCGCATTTATGGTACACTCAACCCCAGGAGTATACACGTCACGAGCACGAAACAAGAAACAAACGGATCCTAAAGGGGAGGGAATAAATTATTAAAGAGTCACGTTAATATCGCGCGTCGGCAGGTCGATGATTGTGCGTGTCATGTTTAGAACAGTCTGGGACTCCATAATTCCCAACCCCCTGTAACATTCCCTTTCGCGAACGTCAAACGTCCCGCGAGCCGACGTTTTAAGGCCACGTGCGTTTCGAAATCGTTCTGTCGTAAATAAGCTTCGACTCGGATCGATTCATCGTTTAAAAAAGACGCTACTGCGTCACCTACGAATCGTAGAACTCCAACTCACCGGATATCATCTCGTATCCTGTTCTGAGTCGGGGAAAACTTTATTCAAACAATAACTAACGTTCAGTTATTTTTTTTAGGCGTTTCTTTGTTGTAGTTCAATAAAAATCATATTTCTCTTCGTTACGATCATATATCCAGATTATTTCACGAACGCAGAAAAGCGAATTTAAATGATTCAATTTAATTAATCGCTAGTGACAGACAGGTAATAAGTAATTTACACATCTAAAAATATATCCACAAATTAATATATACATCTCACGTTTCAACAAAGCTTCTTCCCATTTCTGTCTTTGATCCATTCCCTGCTGAGTTTCGATTATTGTCACTTCGGATATACGTGTCTTTTTATTTTGTACGATGGCTTAGAGTAAAATTCTCACGCGTACGCATCCGTCTTTTTACGGCGCCGTTTGACCAAGATAATCGATAATTATGATGTCCCTCTTATACAAAGTGGGTCGTTCTATATTATCCAACACTCTTGTAATAGGTACAGGGACGGATTTTTCACCTCTGCTAGCTTATCTACGAGACACTTCTCATCCGTTATCTTCCTCGCCTTTTCGAGCTGATGCATACTAATCGCCAGTGCTAACATTATTATTAATTCATTATGCATCAATGTTCTAGTTTAGAAATTTCCAAAAAATCTCTATATGCAAAACATTCGTACGCAAACATATTAGCGACGGCTTGAGATGCGGTAGTTTACGGTATCCTGTTAATTAATTTAGTTTCTTTTATGGTAGCTTGGTAACGTTACAAATTTCAAACAATTGATGAAGAAACTTTCTTTATTTTTATCAATTATTCCTATGGTTTTCTGTGGAAAGTAGGAAATGTTCAAGTATGTCGGAGCTAGTGCTCAATTTTCCAGAGTTAACGTTATTCCGCGAGGAAGGAGACACGCATTGAAAGCTGGAGGGAACAAGCAAGAGGGTTGGAATAAATACTCGCGCTCCCATTCCCGTTCCGGCCACCTTTTATTTAATATTCATCATTCTCACGCCCGCAGTCGAGAGCATTTCTCCGATCCGTGAAAACGCAAAGGAACACGTTTGTTCCCCACCGGCGCGACTCGTAAAGCAACTTTTAGATCGTCCGCGATAAAATCGTGTGACTCACCCTCCAACTATTTTCCAACCGGGCGATTTGCGGCGTTTCGAAAGTCCGACCTCGATTCGCGCGTACACGCACGCGTACCGACGACCGTGCAACCGACGGCGACGCTGGAAAATAAAATAAATCGACGATCTGTCGCCAAAGTGGCCGTACTGGACTCCTGGTGGTGTTGTATCGAACCCAAGCAGTAAGAAAGAACGCGGGAAAACATTTCATCAACACTGGCCAAGGCTAGGATTGAACGAAGCTCCGAGTTTCATTTCTCGATGAATTGTACAAGGATGAACTTATTGATCTGCTTGAGCAGTAAGCGCGTGGAGTTGGTAGTAGATCTTCGCAAGATTAAAGAAAAATCTTTTTACGAACCACGGCCTTCGGGAGCAGGCAAATTTTAAAATAACGTAACTGTTTGAATTTATTTTCCGAAAGCTTAGACTCGTTACTAGGTTCCACAGAATTTCATGACGTTGCTTTTGGCCGTGTAACGAAAAACTAATACTACTGCTTTGCGGCTGTGAATAAAATTCAAAAAGGAAATTTCGTTGGTCTCCGGACGACTCGTTGAAATTGGAAGTGCCTCGAGGAACGAAAATCGAAAGCGGAAAACTCCAGAGACTGAAAGAGCAGAAATAATCACGACAAGCAGTACACGAAAAAAACGTAACATCACTCGTTGGCATTGAAATTCATTTTTTTGAAAACTTGAACTCAATTACTGGAGCTCGTGTGTTACCTCTCGTAACGATAAATAAGTTTCTTTAGTACTTTAATTGAAAATTTTAAATATCAACGCGATCATTCTATAACCTTTATTCGTTCGATTAAATTATTTTGATTTAATTATTTATAATTTAACTAATTATTCAAACAATGCAAGGTATTGTAGCCAACAGATACAAGAATTCCGCGGCGTTATTTCAATCATATACAGCAAAACGAACGATAACCGTGTTTACAAGCTACAAGGTACGGTACAACGTTCTCTGGTCGCGTTTGAAACTCTTAAAAGAGACGATTACACGCAACTATATCAAAAGCGTAAAATTATCCTCTGTGAAAAATTGCAAAGGGTGCCATGGAGGATTCATTAGAGATGAAATTAATTCAAACTACGGACTGAAATAAAAAAAAAAATGCCGATGTCAATCAAATCGAGAACAATTGCGAGACGTAATCGCTGCGAAAAACTCATTCGTTCGCCATTCGAAATATTAATGTAGAAAACAATTCTACTCCGAAAATTACCTATCCACGTGAACATTTTTGTCCAGCTAATTCATTTCATTAAAAAGTTGTAATTGAATTATTCGAGGTGGATGTTACGCTTTATCTCGACCACTGAAAATAGCTGTTCCGAATCGCTCGCAAAAACGCCAGACGAGTACGCCAGTATTATATCTGCAAATAGAACAATCTTGGATTTCATTGCGGTCAATCTCAACCCCCGTCATGTTCGAGATGAATGGACATTCGAAACTATCCTGACATTGAGGAAAAAATCGATACCTTTGAACCCACGCCACGCTTACGACTCTGGTGCTCCGAAAATTCTCGTCAAAGGACCAATCGAAACTAGGACATGCCCTGCAATGATTATTTTCCTCGATCCTCGTCGTTTACAAGATTTATCGCTAGCTCGTGGCAATAAACTGTACATCACTGGAATACATAACACGGTGTTACATTACTTGGAATGAAATGGCTATGGTAATTACGCCGCTGGCCTAATGCTTCCGAATCGATCGATAATGACACAGCCCATCGATGCACCATCGGTGCATTATCTACGGAGGATTTTCATAACATTACGATAGATGACGTATCAATTTTACAAGGAAATAAAGCTATGTATTTTACGCGACAACTCCATCCGTCCAAACACCACCGATCATTCCTGGTAGATAAACAGAAATAGGACGCGAAAGGGTTTCGTCATAGCTCCACTTTCATTCTGCCTGCTTATGCAAAATTAATTTATCAGGAAAGGTGTGACAAGCATCCTCTGGAGTACGCGTTGCACGCGTGAGTTATCGCGCACTCGCACGCGACAACCATTTTACATTTAAAAACTCGAGTAACATTACGTCAGAAGTGAAAGCATTCGTTTCGAAAAGTAACCAGTTTTCGATAAATTATTATGTTAGATAAAGTCCCAAGTCGCACGCTGGTTAAACAAAAAATAAATGAAATAAAACAACGAGGAGCCTGGAGATAGGGACGAAGGAAGCCAAGAAGAGAATATAAGTAGTTAGCAAGAAGAAGGGCGTGGAGGGAGGAATGGTGGAGGAGGGCAGAGAGTGGTGCAGATAAGTTTTATTGCGTTTCGTGTTGCCTGGTGCACTTGAGCGCTTTATTTAGAGCCGGGGCAGCCAGCTGCCCGCGTTTTCTGATCTCGCGGCGCCCCGTGTCAAGGAAGAAACGTGGCCGATGATGTATGCTCGACCGTAAAATCGTTACTTAAGGAATGCCTAACGACCCACTCGTAATTCTTACGCGGGGCCACGGAACACCAAAATGGATCCCCTACGATCGTTTCCGTTTCCACTAGCGATGGGAATGATAACGAATCGGCACTATCGACGCTAGCCCACAGTTCAAGTGTACAAACCTCAAAATGCGAATGTAATTCCTTAATTCGTGTTTAGGAAAATGTAGGGATGTTAAGTCGAATTGAAGTGTATCAATAAAATCCTTATTGAACTATAGATGTCTAATCGTATCAGGGCCATCGCTAGCTTCCACCCTCCGAGGAAACGATTCGTTACAACGTGTTTCTCGCCACGCACGAAGGGGTGAAACGTCCTCGCTGTGTAAACACGAACACAGGCGTGCAAAGGGTGAGTCGAGCGTTTTCGAGAATTACGCTACGACGACCGGCTGACCTGGAAAGTATTTCCGCTTCTCTTCGTTTAACACGCGTTACCAGCGACGAATGTTTCATTTAAATTTTTTCGCGCTACTTTTTCCCACGCGAAAGCTCGACACATCAGAGAATTCACCCTTTCTCTGTTCGAGAGCTCCCGACGAGCCACTGTAGAGATTTTGCTTCTTCGAATACCTCGGGCGAAGTGAAAAGAGTAGCGAAATAGACAGCGACAAATTGGAGCAATCAATTCATCGATTTTCAGACCTGACAGCCAAACGAACGTTTCCATTCCCTTGAAGATACAGACGTATTTTTGTTTTCAACGCCATTTTATTATATATTATATAATCCAAACAACTTTCTTTGAAATTATTAATGTCGTAAGCAAGCATTACAAATGTAAGTTAAACGTTACAAGTTAATTCAAACATTAATTCCTTATGTGTTTTCTTCTGCATCGAGGTTGAATGTTATCAGAACACGAAACCCAACGGAGGCTTTTCAATTCCGGAATTCCTGATGGCTCCAGGTAAACAGGGGGGGTCAGTGTTAATTAGCACGTGTACAAACCTTCGGTCACGTGACGTTCGCGGAGCGCAAGAACGCGTCGAATAATCATGCTATTTTCGCGCGCGTACGGCACGCACGTTCGAGATGACGTGACCGTGCCAGGACGCTTCTCCGTATTGGCGTCGCGACGCATCGGTTTGTAGGCGAGATTCTCGAAATCAGCGATCCACATGCCGCATTTGGCCATTGGCTGCCGCGGGAATCGCCGTTGCGTAGGCTGGCCTTTGTTGGAATTTCAATTTCCACTCGAAAATCCACGCGAAAAATAGTAACCGCTGCACAATTTCTTTAACGGAACACGTCGAGGCCGCCATTTTATGGATCATAAAGCAGTGGCAAAATAATTAGTCAAGGCATCTCGTTAATATCATTATTCTCATTCCCTTTTTAAAGGTTTATTTTTACGGATGAAGCCAACGTGGAACCGTTTACGTTGTTATTTTATATTCTGTGGATTCTAAAGGGAAAAAATTCAATAAATAAAACTTTTACTTTTGTTGAAATAAATAATTAGAGTCTAGACACAACATTGCGAGGCTACGTACTTGATCATTCGTCTTTGAAGAGGTAAGATTCATAACACTAAATAAGAGAACGGAACAACAGCACACAAAAAAATGGCGAACGAGGCATTGAATCCTCTGAATGTTAAAAAATGACGAAACATAAAAGCACGCGTTGAGAAGGAGAAAAAAGATCGTCGCGCATGCTGCAGATGAATATCCCAAATGACCCTGCTATATTCCAGCATCTTAGTCCTCGTTCAAGCACGTGATAAAATTAACGAAGGAATAACTCTTCGCGCGGTTCTACGAGCGCTCGACCGTTCTAATGAACGTTGTCCAATTATTCGCACGGCGATTACGAATATAACCGTTGAAGAAAGGAGGAGGCTCGCGATCGGAGGAGGTCTGCGGTGCAGCTGTGCACTCTTTCCTGTAAATACACGGGAACACGTTGATACCAGATCCACGTGTATACATAACATGACTACCGCTTTATTCATCGCCGAGACGCTGGAATTCGGGGTTAAGAAATTATTCATCGCGGATGGATAAACAAGATCTACATGTTACAGGAATGTCAAATTTTATATCGCTTCTTTGGTCATCCGACTTATCTTCTCTCCGCTGGGGCTATTTCGATTACGCGCAACGAAAATATAACGAGTTGATCGCCAGGTCATCCATATATGTGTGACAGGATTTTTCACTAATGAATTAAATAAATTACTTCGTGAATTTGGCGTAATCGCAGAAATAAGTACTACTTTAAATTCAACAAAAATATTTTTCAGTTATATAAAAATAAAGCGTTGGGCTTGTATAAATTTTCGTGAGTTGTTTGGCAGTCAACATGATAAAGAAACCGCGTAAATGAATAAATAAGGAGAATATCGTTACGCAAAGGAAGGTGGACAATTTATTCGACGATGTATAATAAACGCGTAAAAGGCGAGACTCGGCCAAGGCGCTGTTATTAAACCCAAGCTTTATATAAAACGAATTGTTATCTGTTTATATCTTCAAGGTTGTTGATTACAAAGGCCCCGAGTCGGCAAAGTAAGTAGAATGAAGAGAACAATCCCACTGCGAAGTGTACCGTGTCGATGCATCAGCTGTGCACAGGCGCGTGCGACCGAGCGCGAGGTGGAGGAGCATTTGTGTGCGAAACCGCGTGGAGAAGGACGAGTCCATGCGAATATCGTGGATAAACTTACCCCAGCATCCGCTGGACGCGTCCATTTTCAAAGAAGAGCTCGCTGATTCGTTGCCCCACCTTGGTTCGATCCTTTGACTGCTGGTCAAGGTCAACAGCCCAGGTTACCTGTTGAAATACTGCGATAAAACACACAGGATGAGCTAAGTTACTTTCAGACGTGGTTAACGTTAGGGTCGCCATCGTAAGAGTAGGGCACAGGTCGATTGCAGGACTAACGCACTCCATGTAGATAACATGTACAAATATTCAGTATATTTTAAGGAAATTTTAAGGAGTACCAGGTGAAGGGGTTAATGAAATCATACCTTATAACCGTTTCAGAATTTTAGGAAATCATTTAATAATAGATAGAAGATTAAATAAGCGATCATTTCAAGGAATTTGTAGTCATAGATCATCAGTTAAAAGAATCATAGTTCAAGGCATACATGTACAACCATGTCCCAAACAAAATTATTAGTTAATTGCTTCCTCCTGCCATACTAAACATTTCCGAATCTTCGCCGAAAAGTCTGAAAAGCCTTTCGTTTCATTTCCTCTCAAGAAACCTATTAACACGTCAAATGATTTGCACAAGTGGATCCCAGTTCTGCGCATGCAGGTCACCCACGGCTCCAGCGCGACCCAACGAATTTTTCAACGCCATTCCCCGAAGAGCGAAGCCGCGAACGAAAAATAACACGCCGAACAACATTTGCATAAACAATTTGCACGCGTAATTGATCCGAGGACGTTCTCGCTGTCCGTTTGCTAATGGAAAGTGGTTGACGTTAAAGGGTGATTACACAGCGAGATAAAGCGCAAGCGATCCGTTTCACGGTTTCAAACCTTAATGGCCTCGTGGAAATTAATGAAAGAGCAAACGTTCGCGAGCTGGGCGCGACAGCGACCCTCGAGGAGTGAAAATGCCGCGAAGAAGAAAAAAGCCAGGGGGAAATTCAGGCGTCGATTACAGGCCCGTTTCGGTTCTTTATTTTTTCTTTTCTTTTTTTTTTTACGTACGGATGCTTATCGTTTCCCTCCTCGAACACCGCGGAGAGCCCTCACGGAGCTTATCCCGCAATCAGCGAAGTTAGGAGCGGAGAATGGCGGGAGGAAACGATCCCACGGGCCCTTCACTAAAGAAAACTGGCTGATGCGCGGGGGTTTGATTTCACGCTGGAAAAGAGGTCTTGAATGAACCGTCGCTTTTTCACCCTCTCGCACCCCTCCGTCCTCGCAATGGAAACGAACAGGTTTTCGAGATTAAAAGAGGAGAAACAGAATTTTCAGGATTTCAATTCGTTCTCAGGACACGAGGCCATTGGGGTCGCGGATAGTTTTCATTTCGGGACTGGCTGATGCTTTCGGTGGAAATTTGCGTCCTCCAGTCGAATGGGGCACTCTATTTAATCCACACGAGTGTTTAGTTTCAGTCATCCTCGGTGCATTTTCCAAATGTGGAACAATTTTTCATTTTTAATCGAGGAAGGAAGATTCTACTTACATTGCACGAGCCATTTTGGCATGTGTGACATTTTCGCGAGTATGTACAGGGTGGGCTACGAAACTGGAACGAGTCATTTTTCCTAATTACAATCGGAATGAGAGGTGGTTCAATCTCGAGGCTCTGAAAACCAAAAATGATTCGGATTGCAATTCTAGCGAACGACTACGCTTTTCCTTGCTACCTCGTCTTGGGCACGTTCTCGGCGTCTTTCTGCGGCCCTTTCTGGCCCTCCAACATAGCGTTCCAGTCGAGGAAGAATTTAATTTCGTCCGTGGTGGAAATAACGCGTTTCCGTGGCCCGAAACAGGGAACCCAGAGCGATGTGTATCGGCGATTTGGTAAACATCGGTGATCCATATTTCACGGTCTATCTTTAAACGTCAATATAACCTCGTTAACCGTTGTGTACAAGTCGAAATGTCGAGCTTCTATCTGGAACGAGATCTGCGCCAACGGGATTTTACGGCGTGTCGAAAAATTCCCGCCTACCGATCGGACTAATAATATTTAACACCAATTCGGAAACGACACGTTGGAATTCTCGTCGGGAACACGTTTTTAATCGATTTCGAATAATTCGAAAGGGTGACTAATATTAAAAACGATATCGACATTTTAATATTTAGTCACGCGATCAAACTCAATTTAAAAAATACAATAATATTATTAATGACATTGTTACCAAGACCAACTTATATCTATATATTTATATATATTATCTATAAATTCATTACATATTAATTCATAAAATTAGACACATTATCCATTATAAAGAATTATTAATTTATTAGAATTATATCAAATACGTATTACGCAAATATTGCATAAATAACTAAGTTACGTAATGACACAGCAAAACGATGACTGAACCGTTTAACAGCGTATTCTTGAAATCATTTTAACGAGTCCACGAGCCTGAAAAACGAAAAAGAGAAAAGTAGGTCCGATCAATTAAGACACGTGACTGTGGGACACGATTAATTACTCGGCGGAATCACGAACGGCCGAATATTTCGTGGACGTTCTGCCGTTCCTCCCAGGAGGGTTCATAAATATTGAACGGCCGCTCTACGCCCTCAAACGAGAATGTCGTTCGTTTAAATAATGGATGCTCGCGCGACGCTGCGACTCCGCGAAAGAAAAGCCAAAGGATACGAGCGCCTCGAGAGAGTCAGGATAGGAAGCTCGTGATAAATCGGAATTCCTGAGCGTAATCAATTACTCTCCTGACTCTTGCCGAGATCCGTCTTCCCATCGGGGAATTATTTTGGTTAAATATTTTTATCGGAGCTCTCTTCAAAAGCTCCTGCGTTAAAGGGAAAATAGGTTGATTAAACTAGAATTGCAATTACGCAAAGTATAATATTTTATTTTCGTATAAAAGACAATTTAAGTAGTCGATGCCCGAGAAAATACTATTTCGCATCCTTCGCGTCCTGTGTATTTACTCGGGCGTGTCTGATCATTAACGACCTATTCCACTGTGGACAAACAGAATCCCAGCGAATAAACGAGGACGCTAACTCGGCGGATGCTTTCAACCTGGTCGCGCATAATTGAATGTAAAGAAGAAAGGAGGCAAGTACCGCGGACAATAATTACAGGAAAGATAGTTATTAAAAGTGTAATTTATTCGACGGCGTTGAACTCGCCGCGCGAAGACTCTTCAGGATACTCCCTCGATTATTATTTATAAACTTGTTAACAGTCTGTTTCGATTGAAAAGTTTACTGAATGTACTTCGAAGAGCGTATATTCTCGCATGGACTATTCAAAGCAGTACAGACTAATTGCTTAAAACAGCATTTGAACCAATATCCAATCGTATCAGATCCATCTCTACTTTAGACAATTTACCTTTCGTCGTACGTCCATAACGATAAATATTCGTACTGAAAAACTGAACGCCCCTTCGAGAGTCTCGATGGGAATCGCAAAACGAGAAGTCTGACTGAGTTTCGTTTCCATTCCCTCGCGTATTTGCTCGCGAATTAACATAGCTGTGTCGATCGGACGAATCTACGCGAAAAAGTGCGCTCGACAGGTCGTGCCCAGCATCGTGGAAATGTACATCGACTCGTGAAACACGAGGAGGAACTGCGCCTGCGAAGATTTATCGTTGCCCGAAAGTATCGGTGGCGCGCGAGAGCCCACTTAATTATCGTCCTTAATTAAAGGTCGACGCGAGGAATTCGTTGAAGATGAAACGCCGCGACGCTTCGGGGGAAATTTATTCACAATTTTTCGCCGCTTCGGAAACGAGGGATGTTACCAGGAATTTTTCGTTCATTAGCTTAATCATTTGGTTAGAGATTTGTTGTTGTTATGTACTTTATGAATCCTGGGTTCAAAGTTGTACTACGAGGTCTCTCGTGAAAGACTTGAGACAACATTAAATGCTAGGCTTGATATATGTAAATAAATGTTTCACTATAAATATACACATGGATAAACTTCGCTTATGCATGTATTTATAGTGACAAATTTATTTGAAAACATCAAACCTATCATTTAATTTCGACAAATTTCTTTAATGGACATAGAGGGTACGAATACTTATGAGACTGACTGTATCTAACAAAATATAAAATAATGCAATGAATTTAGGTCTTTTTACAGCACAATGTTCCAATTGAACAACGCAACGTCTGTCACTCCGTTTGCGTACACATGTTTAGATTGCCTTTGAATATTCAAAGCTCCATACAGTCTCATCCGTTCCAAAAAGCTCCTATCTCATAATGTAACATTTAATCTCGTGTCTAAAGAGCTTACTACAAATTCGCAGCCGATCAGCCCGCTGTTATTCGCGACGAAGGATTGTTCGTAGCGAGTAATAACGATAATAGCTCCCGACGAGATGCAGGGAGTTGAGGACTGATTCGGAAACGTCAATCTCTCTCTTCATTCTCGCCAAGTGAAAACTGGACCGACCCAGTAAGTCCAGTTGCACGGTTCGCGTCTATCTCGCGTGTTAGCTTCATTTTCTCAGTGAAATCGATTGCTTGACAGATTTTGGAAATCGTAGGGACTTTGTTTCCTTCGATCTCTACTGTTTCGTACTTACAATTAGCATTAAGCACGATTGTATAATTCATGTAGAGGGAGCTCGAAGGAACTCTGATTCCCTCTATCTCTCTCCGGGTCTCCGCTCGCAGCAACCTCCTCGTGGTGAGACCTGGTAATCGCTATTACTCGCGACAAAATACTCTTCGAACGATTCTTCGTCGCGAGTAATAGCGAGCTAATCGGCTGCGAATTTGTAACGAGTTCTTTGGACGTAAAAATAAATGTTACATCATGAGATAGAAAGTTTTTGGAACGGTTAAGATTGTATGGAGTTTTGAATATTCTAAGGCAATCTAAATATGTGTACGCAAACGTGTAATCGGCTGTCGCGTTGAGTTGGAAATGGTATGAAAAGTTCCGACACCGACGTTCAGCGCGTTACTCATTCCGCATTCGTCACGGACTACGTTATTCTGATCACACGCGCGTCATTTGGCAGCACCAGTAATACCGGCGCTCGTACAACAATGTTATAAATCTACGTCACACGGTTACATAAATATTCGCGTTCTTTGCATTATCGAACCCGGTGCGATGTTCTAATAATATCGACAATAT